ACTGAAGGATGAGAGCCAGCCACTAGACTTCCTCCAGGCAGAAGGAAAAGAGCACAAAAAGGCCCCAAATTGGGAATAAGCAAGGCATATTTGAAGGACTGAAAGGCCACAATGGCTGGAGGATCACTAGAAGCTTTCTACTTGGGAAGAAATAGGCAAAAAAGGAGTCATGCAAATTGGAAGCCATTGAAGGACTGAGGTGATCTGATTGAGGTTTTTGGAAGATCAGTCTGGTGAGGGTGCAGCAAATGGCTTATCAGGAGGTAAGAGTGGAGCGTGTAGACCAGTGTGGAAACTAATGTGCTCACATAGTCAAGACGTTGGTGGTGTAAACTTTGCCAGCATCTGGTGCAGAAAAATTGTACATTTCTATTTTTTTAATATATTTTTATTGATTTCAGAGAGGAAGGAAGAGGGAGAGATAGAAACATCCATGATGAGAGGGAATCATGGTGGATTGGCTGCCTCCTGCAAGTCCCCCACTGGAGATGGAGCCCACATCCCAGGCGTGTGCCCTTGACCTTTCAGTTCACAGGCCAACGCTCTATCCACTGAGCAAAATCGGCAGGCCAAAAGTTGGACATTTTAAAAGGAACATTACCAGTAAAATAAAATCTAAACTAAGGGAAGTTGAACAAAAATAGATTTAAAATATATTTACTACACAGATTTCTTAAGATAGCTAAGGTTTGGCCCCCAGTTTCCTTGGAAGGGACAGGCAACAAGATGTTCTCTCAAGTCTGTCCTTTCCTGTCCCCTTTGTGGTCCTTCATTAATTCCCCCTTACCGTGCGGCATGAGAAAAAAGCAGAGCCCACATTACTGCTACTCTTCAAGCGGACGAATAGTGAGCAGCTAAAGCCCCAACCCTATGTACAGTGGTAGCTGCATCTCTCGGTGACCATAAAACAGGTCATAAACATCAGGCACAAATGTTTCTTCCACCTACTCTAGTGCTAGGATGACACTCCTTCCCCCTAAAAACCATAATGAAAATTTCTTAGGGATTATTCTGACTATAACACTCTAGACCAGTGGTTCTCAACCTTCCTAATGCTGTGACCCTTTAATACAGTTCCTCATGTTATGCTGACCCCCAACCACAAAATTATTTTCGTTGCTACTTCGTAACTGTAATTTTGCTACTGTTAATGAATCGTAATGTAAATATCTGTGTTTTCTGATGGTCTTAGGCTCTACAGCAGCGGTTCTCAACACGAGGAACTGTATTAAAGGGTCGAGGCATTAGAAAGGTTGAGAACCACTGCTCTAGAACAAGTCTAAAGAAAAAATAGCTTTTATTCTCGGATTCACAGGGACATATCTAATACTTTTAGGAACTCTTTCAGGACTGGCTAGTACAGAAATAAAGCTAACATTTGTTAACATGACAGCTAGGTGGTGCAGTGTTCCAAGCGCTTCTTTTAAGGACTTGGGCAGCTAAGATGAAACCCTATAACTTACTGGTTGAGAGTGAAGGATCTGGAGTCAGGCTGCTTGGGTTCGAATCCTGGTCTCTCCACCTACACTGTGGCTTAGAACAGGTTGTTTAACTTCAATAAACCAGAATTTCATCTTCAAAATGGGAGTTTGATAAGCCCCCAAGAATCTGAAGTGGATGAAATATGATGAGAACTGTTTGTGAACTCAGGAGAGGGCTTCTAATCCTGGCCTGTTCGCTGCCGACAAGTCCTCCATTATCATTTTCCCCTTCACATCTCCCCAACACATACCATATTTTTCTGGCATATATAGGTTTGGGCCTATATTCGCTGTATAAGACTATCCCCCACTGCAAAGAAAAGACTTACTTTGCTGTCAAGATCTGCAGGTAATTTTTGTGCAATTTTGGTCTTTTGCCCCCAATTTTCGGTTGACTTTTTCATTTCAAAAGTCGTCTTATATTGCCGGAAAATACGGTATATATCAACACCTACTCTATTATACACACAAACATGCACCACACACCTGCACACTTAGTTGTAGAAAGTGGTATTTAACCACTATAAGCATAAGTAAATGTCATTTTACTTTTTAAAAAATATTTATTTAATTGAGAGAGAGAGAGAGAGAGAGAGAGAGAGAGAGAGAGAGAGAGAGAGAAAGAGAGAGAGAAACATTCATCCGCTGCCTCCCACACACACTGTCCCCCCACCCACCAGGGATCAAGCCTGCAACCACTCTGGGAATCAGACTGGTGACCTCTCTGTGCACGGGGACAACTCTCAACCAACTGAGCCACACCAGTTACATAGCATATGGCACTTAATGAAATAAACCTTTCTAATTTAGCACAGATTAAAACAACTCCTGGAAAGAAGTATAATAACTGGATCCCAGACCCTGAATTCGAACTCCCTCACTCTACAAGCTCAAAAATTTTCAAGTGCTCTTTTTCCATGGGGAAAATAAATGACCCACTCCCTTTCCCAGAAGTCCATGGACTCCCCCAGCCAGCTTAATTTATATTCCACTTTCTAATTTAGGCTCTACCAACTGTTTCCCAAGTTGCTTGAGTATAAGGAATTGAAGACCAGAACAGGGAAGGTTCATAATGCCTCAACCCTGGGAATAGGTGAGTTGGATTTGAAGCAAGTGAATACGGTTCATAATACTGCTGACTTTGGAGCAACACAGGTTTGAACTTCCCATCCACTTATACTTGGATTTCCCCCCGCGCCCCCCCCCTAAATACCTGTACTGTTTCCCACCCATGGTTGGGAGTGTAAGGATTCACATTGCATTGTTCTACCATTGTATATAGGAGACTTGCGCACCCATGGATGTTGGAATTGGTGGGGGTTCCTGGAACCAACCCCTCTCCAGGACTCAGAAACAGGTTTGGGGGAGTCAAAAGTTGTTGGTTGATTTTCAAATGCACCTAAGCACTGGCCTCACTAACCAGCTACTGGGCAGCATTTACTCAGTGGACACCAGGGGGTAGCAACATCACACGCTCCGGCTCCCAGGCATAAATCCTAGGGAAGAAGCTTTAGAGTCTTCCTGACTCAGGGCCCCATAGCCCATGGACAGAAAAGAGCTCCAACCCCCTGCTTCTAACTCCTGGAAAGATGGTCACTAGGGTTTGTGGCCTTAGATTATTGACCTTTCGCCACTATGGAGCAGAGGGACCTTGCCTACAAATAAAATGAACATTTTCTCTCTCCTCTTTTCTAAACCCAGTGGAGTGGAGAATAAGTGGTGCGATTTAATTTTTTGAGGAGGTGAGAGAAGAGCCACCACATGAAGCCACGTCCTACTCGCCCCTGTGCCAGCGACTGCCCAGAAGCTCCGGCCTCTTGGCTTCCTGGGAGTTCGGTCCTCTGGGCAGACCCTTCCCACAGGTCACCCCCTATCCATCCTCTGGGGCACAGCCCTCCAGCCCCCCTCTAGGAACTAGTTTGCTTTCTGAGCTCCTCTCCAAGCCCACCCTTTGGAAGCTCCACCCGCACCCCGCCTGGCCCTGCTCATAGGAGGGACAAGACCTCTCCCATCTATGCCTAAACCTCCCCTCACCCTCCTCGGGGAGCCTCCCTGGTCTTCACTTTGTGTACTGTGTCAGATAGCCATCCCCGCCACCAGGAGCCCCAGGGTGACCATCACCAGGGACTGATATCCAGTGTCAAATTATGGGGTCTGATTGGGGTTCTGCCGTCTCCCCACCGCTGGCAGATGTGGGAGAGGTGGGAAGGACGTGCGGAGAGGTTGGGACAGCGACCAAGAGGCTCAGAAAATGTCCCCAGCAGTGCCCACCCTCCCGGGAGAATCCTGATCCCCGGACCCTGCCCGCCCCCCACCCCCCGCCCCAGCCACGGTGCCCACTCCAAGCCTTCACAGCCCCCCACGCCTCCGCCGTCCCCAGGCCGAACAGAGGAGCCCATTGTCAGAGCCCGAATGTTGGAGGGCTGCGGAGGGGAGAAGGGGAAGAGGAGGCGCTCCTCACCGCCCCCCCCCCACTTCCCCACCCGCTGGGTCTGGCGGGTGGGAGGCATCCCCGGACTTCCCTGCCCTCCGCTCCACCCAAGGCGGGCAGGGGTTTGGGGGGGTGGGGCGAAGGGATCTCTTCGGAGCCCCAGGTTCTGCCCAAGTCTGGCACCCGAAGGGAGAAGAGGCTCCCAAGCGAGCTGGAGACGGAGGGTCCCGGCCGCCTGCCGCCCCGGGTCCTGGGCTGAGGACCCCGGGACTTCACGGACGCCCCAGGCTCCGGAGGGTCCCGGGGGCCAGGCGGTGGCGGGAAGAGAAGGGCATCCGCGGCTGGGGGCCTCCCGGACCAGGGCTGCAGCTACTCTCGGGGGTGGTGGTGGGGTGGGGGTGCGCAGGAGGGAGAGGCTGCGGGGAGCCCGGCCGGCCGGGGGAGGCTCCGCGGGAGGGGGGGTCGGGCCGCGCCCCGCGGGGCTCGGCGCGGAGCCGGCGGGCGGGAGGCGGGAGGCGGGGCGGCGGCCGTCTCGGTCCTCCCTGGCGGGGCCCCGCGGCCTGGGACGAGCCGCCGAGCCCGCGGCCGGAGCTGTCCCCCCGCCAGACCCGGAGTGCGAGCGGCGGGAGGAGCGGCGGCGCGCCCGGCCCCGCCCGCCCGCCGGCCCGAGCGTCCGACGCGGAGCGGCGCCGAGCCATGGTGAGTCCCCACCGCCGCCCGGGCCCTCGCCCGCGCCCGGGGGTGCCGCTGGCTGGCGCCGGCCCCGGGCTGCGGGGCGCTCCCGGGGTTCTCCCCCATCTCCCGCTCTTCCCTTGGGTCCGTCTGCCCCGCTGTCTGCTCCGTCCCCCCAACCCCCCCCTCCACCTCCAGTACTGCCCTTACCCTTTCTTTCTTCCTCCTCTTCCCGCCCCTTCCCCCATCCTCCCCGCGGTCTCTCCCTAATCCTCACGCCCCCCTCCCCTCCTCGGCCGGGCCGGTGCCTTCCTCTGCAGGACCTTCCCTCTCCCCGCCCCCCCCCCCCCGGGCCCTCCCGCGGCTCCGGTGCCGCAGCGCCCTGCACGGGGCGGCCTCGGGTCATGAGAACCGACCTGACTGGAACTCCCATTTTCCATCCCGGTCCCCAGCCCGGTGCACGGACCCACCCATCCGGCCCTGGGGGACCGGCCGCCGCGGAGCCTGGGCCAGGGCCAGGGACACAAAACCCGGGAGGGGAATTCCCGCGGAGGAGAGAGGTGGCCTCGGGATAGCGGGCAGATGGGGAGGGGGGCTCGCCGTGCCAGGGGGCGTGACGCTGCTAGGGCAGACCAGACATTGGGGGCGGGGGGGTGGTGTCCCCAGCTCCCGCTGCGGGGAACAGAATCCGTGTCAGGGCATTCCCGCTGCAAAGGGGCGGGCGCTCCCCGTAGCGGGTAGGGGGACCCTGGCCGCAGCCACTCGGGGCCCGGGAAGCAGGAGGGCATGGTTCAGGGGAAGCCCATGCCAACAGGAGCGGTCAGTGTTCTGCGAACTTTCACTCCAGAAGTGTCCTCTGGACAGTTACTGCCGGGGAGCTCCCACTGCGGGGTTGGGGTGGGGGGACCCGGCCTCAGGGGTGCTCCCTGCAGAGAGGGGAGGTGGGGAGGCCCCGCCGGGAGGCGCTCCCTGCGGGGAGGGGAGGAGGGGGAGGAGCACTCCCGGGGCTGCTCCTCTGCTGGAGGAAGGGCACCCCCTGGCAGGGCGGCTGGAGCGAGGAGAAAGAGGAACTGGGCCAGGGAGAGCTGACTCAGTCTCTCTGGGCTCTCCTCTGGTCCCCGCCGCCGGCTATAGAGAGGCCTCGTCTCGGTGCTCCTGCCCACCGCCTCCCACCCCAGACCCCTCCTCCCCTCTCCTCCCCTCCCCTCCCGCCGGTGTCGTTTCCTGTGGCTGAGACTCTCTCTCAGCCATGAGCTCACCGCCCCTAATGGGTTGCAGCTGCCTCGCTGCTCCAGCCCGAGCGCCCCGCTCCCCGCCGCTGGCCTCCGAGCGGACGGCCCACTCTGCCTCCCCTCCCTCCCCTCCCCCCGCCCATCGCCCCCCTCTCCCCGCCCCCCTCCCACGTCCTCCGCGCCGGCGAGTCCCCGGAACACTGGGGGTCTGTCTGCTCGCCCACACACCTTGGGGCCGGGTCTCTGTGTGACGCACGGAGTGGCCCTCTCCGGAGTGGCTGCCCTAGCCTCTCTTGGTCAGAGGACTGGCTGGCAACTCGGGCTGGAGGGACCAAAGCAAAATGGTATGCAGTTTTGTCCTCATGGCAAATGCGGGGCTGGGGATCGGGGAGGTAAAGAACTAGGAGACACTCTGCAGCGAGCATCCCCTTGCGCCTTTAGAGCAGTTAAATCTGGTGAAAGGAACTTCAAAGCCATCTTGGAGAAGTAAGTTTGCCCAAGGGCAGTTGTTTATAGAGTGTGGGATGGAGAAGGATAACCCATTAATTCACTTGGGAGGTGAGTCTGGAGGAAGCAGGGCTGAGTGTTTTGAGGCTGTGGCCCCAGGTGGACGTGGGCAGAGAGAGTCCTGCTGAAACCAGAAAAGATTTCAGCTCCCATGCATACTCACCAAGGCCTGCTTCTCCCTTCCCCACATGTTCCTTTTGTGACTTTTTCCTGTTTCAACTGTCCCCACCCAGTTCTTTGTAACCCAATCCCACATGCTCTGGAATGGGTGATTGCTTCACAGCCACTCTGGGAGAGGGGAGAGAGGGTGCTAGAAAGACTGGAGATACACAGCCCTCTCATCCTCCCTCCCATCCAACAACCACCTCCAGCAAAAGACTCATGAGTGGTGGCCCCACCTCTTTTGACGGGGGTCTCTGCAGACCCTTGGATACAGAGAGAAGACTGACAGCGGTTGGAGGGGAGGAAGTTGGGAGATGAGTGAGAAGGTTGAAGGGATAAAGCAAAGAAAAAAAAAAAAAAGGCTCCTGGATAACAGTATGGTGATTACCAGGGGGAAGAGAGGATGGGGGGAAAGTGGAAGAGGGTGAAGGGAGGATAAACGGTGATGGAAGGAGACTTGACTTGGGGTAGTAAACACATAATTTACAGATGATGTAGAATTATATACCTGAAACCTATATAATTTTATTAACCAATGTCACCCCAATAGATTTAATTTTTTAAATGTAATAAAAAAATAAAAAAAAATTTTAAAGAGTGTATTTGTGCCAAACTGAGGACATGCTTGAAAGCAAAGATCTCAGTAGATTGAGAAAATGCTCCCGAGAATGGCAGTTTGGCCTTGCCCTTTTTACATTTAGAATTAGAGAAAATGTAAGAAAGTTTACATGAAATCCACTGGTGGTAGATTAAGGAGGTAGGAGAACGCTAGATGGGAGGGGTGAATACCTGGGGTTGCATAAGAAGCAAAATGGAGAGATACATACTTCTTTCACCTTGACAGCTCAGGGTAGTTAACATTTAGCATCACAGTAACGAGAGATAATAAGCAGGCAACAAGGTAGCCATGAGTTTTGGTGCACCTGCTCTGTCCTGAGGGTGCGTATGCCTCCATGTTGTCTGGAAATGAAGATTGCTCTAGCATCGGAAAGGTTTGTGATCCTAGGTGCACAAGAACAATGGGCAGGGCTCTGTTAATGTAAAGTTAACCTTTTACTAAGGAAGCTGTAGGTCTGGTGCTTGGCTACCCACCATGGCCTACCCAGTTGGGAATGTATCATGTGTGGTTACTATTGGCCACTGAACTTATCAGGTCTGCTATATAGCCTCTTTTCCATTCACAATTAATATTTTTGCTTTAAAAAAAATTTTAAATGCATGTAAAACAATTAAATGTTGTATACCTCAACTGTGAGCACAACAAAAATATCACCCATCTTACAGGAAATAAGCTGAGGTATAGAGGTTAAATGGGTGGCCTAAGATATTGTATTGTCAGTCAAAATTAAACTGCTATTTGATTTTTTTAAAAGAAGGGGGAGGGGGTGTCTGTGGATGGTAGGACCTGTGGGGAGGGGCTTGCAGGACGCTGTGTGGAAGCCCTCCACCCTCCAGATCTCTCAGCCTAACTCAGTCCCCTGATGTCCCCAAATCCACCTCATCTCTCCCGGGGAGGGCCTGTGCAATCGCCCTGATCCTTAAGAATCAGGGATGGCCCTGATCAGAGACATGCATGACAAATTCTCCCTAGATTTTCCACAGCCAAGGTCTCAGGGCTGTCTCAGGGAGTGCACTGCAAGGCCCGTGCATTCTGACAGGCCGGCTCCACTCCCATCCTGAGCTCATTCAGCCAGCAGTTCCTGAGTGCCCTCCCTGTGCACTCAGTGGCCCCCGGGGTGACACAGCCAGCCCCAACCCAGCCCACTCCCCAGGGTGCCATGCTTGGGTGATCTGCAGCCTCGTCTTGTCTCTCCCAGGAGCCGGAGCCAGTGGAAGACTGTGTGCAGAGCACGCTCGCCGCCCTATACCCGCCCTTTGAGGCAACAGCCCCCACGCTGTTGGGCCAGGTGTTCCAGGTGGTGGAAAGGACTTATCGGGAGGATGCACTGAGGTACACCCTGGACTTCCTGGTGCCCGCCAAGCATCTGCTTGCCAAGGTCCAACAAGAAGCCTGTGTGAGTGACCGTGCATTCCTGTTTTTTCTCCCTTAAGATCTTCTGCCTCACTCCAGAGACGAGGCAGACTGACTAATCTCCCCCACCCAGAGAGGGAGCCTCCCTGATCCTGATCTCTCCAGAGGCACAGCCCCTCAGATATTAACACACAGACACTCATCTTCCTCGAAAATTAACCCCTAAGAAATATCAAGTCCCAAACACCCCGACCCTCCAGACCCAATTCCAGACATTTTCCCCCCTCATATCAGTTTTGAAGATACTAACTCCCCCAGATGTGGCTCAATAAAGATCCTTCACTTTTTTTAGCTATAAAACCTCCTAAGAGTCTCTGAGTCTTCCCAAGACAATGGTCTCTGCTGACCGTGTCTTTGTCATGACTCAGTTCTTACTCCCACGCATGGAATGAGCTTCCTACCACCGGAAAACGGACCAGTCCCAAGCCCTTCCTCTGCCACGTGGACACCTGCTCCCCTGGGCTATCACCCACCGGGCGTAAGGCCACTGCTGCCCAGGATGGCTCCATCCTAACTGCCCCCTCCTGTTGGTTTCGTCAGCAGAGGCCTGAGCGAGCCTCCCCTCTCTCTCCTCAGGCCCAGTACAGCGGCTTCCTCTTCTTCCATGAGGGCTGGCCCCTCTGCTTGCATGAGCAGGTGGTGGTACAGCTGGCAGCCCTTCCCTGGCAGCTGCTGTGCCCGGGGGACTTCTACCTGCAAGTGGTGCCCTCCGCAGCCCAGGCGCCCCGCCTGGTGCTGAAGTGCCTGGCCCCGGGAGGTGGACGTGTCCAGGAGCTGCCTGTGCCCAATGAGGCGAGTGCCTACCTGTTCACACCTGAGTGGCTACAAGGCATCAATAAGGACCGGCCCACAAGTCGCCTCAGCACCTGCCTGCTCTCTGCGCCCTCTGGGATTCAGCGGCTGCCCTGGGCTGAGCTCATCTGCCCCCGATTTGTGCACAAAGGAAACCTCATGGTAGGACATCGGCCAAGCACGCTGCCCCCGGAACTGCCCTCCGGACCCCCAGGGCTCCCCAGCCCTCCGCTCCCTGAGGACTCCCTGGGCACCAGGAGTCCCGGGGATGGGCACAACGCCCCTGCCGAAGGACCGGAGGGCGAGTACGTGGAGCTACTGGAGGTGACCCTGCCCATGAGAGGCAGCCCCACGGATGCTGAGGGCTCCTCGGGCCTCTCCAGGACCCGGACAGTTCCCACCCGAAAGGGCGCCGGAGGGAAGGGCCGGCACCGGAGACACCGAGCATGGGTGCACCAGAAGGGCGTGGGGCCTCCAGACCAGGATGGGGCACGCCCACCAGGTGAGGGGAGCAGCAGCGGGGCTTCCTCTGGGTCTCCCCCTGAAGCTGAATCTCCCCCAGAGGCAGCAGCCCAGGAGGCAGCTGAGCCCCCAGCAGAGGCTCTGGGGGAAGCCTCTGAAATTTGCCTCCTGAGGCCAGGGGAGATTGGGGGAGGACTAGGCCCGGGAGCTGAAGGACCGCCCGGCACCCCTCGGAGAGCAGGCAAAGGAAACAGGAGGAAGAAGCGAGCTGCAGGAAGAGGGGCTCTTAGCCGAGGAGCGGACAGTGTTCCTGTCCCGCTAAACCCTGGGGACAAGGAAGAGACCAGCCAACAAGAAGCCCCTGCTAATCTGCCGTCATCAAATGAGCATGAGCTTCCAGGAGGCAGCCTGACTAAAGAGGAGCTCGAAGGTTCGGAGAAGCCCGAGTCTGAGCTGAGAGAGGAGCTCATACCAGCAGACGAAAAGGAGCCACAGCCCTCAGAAGCCTGTGGGCCTAGAGAAGAGAAGGCCCCTGAGAGAGAGCAGAAGGGCCCGAGTCTGATGTGCATGGCAGGTGAGGTGATACTGAGGCCGACAGGGCAAGGGCGAGTGTAGGTTTGGCCTCAGAAAGGGGGCTGGAGGCCGAAACCAGTTGGGCTCAGTGGATAGAGCGTCCGCCTGCAGACTGAAAGGTCCCAGGTTCAATTCCAGTCAAGGGCATGTATCTTGGTTACAGGCACATCCCCAGTAGGCGGTGTACGAGAGGCAGCTGATCGATGCTTCTCTCTCATCGATGTTTCTGACTCTCTATCCCTCTCTCTTCCTCTCTGTAAAAAATCAGTGAAAAAAAATTTTTTAAAAAAGAAAAAAGGGGGGGAGGGGCTGGAGGAGAAGCAGAGATGAGGCTGGGAGCAGGACGGCCATACTCGGTCTCACTTCAGGCCCATAGCTCTGTCTGTGTCTGTGCAGGACCCACAGAACCTGAGGAGCTCCCCTCTGACCCTCCCCTGCCACCTCTGGAGCCTATACAGGAAGTGAAAGGGGATAGGATCCCGGAAGAGGCACCTGCAGTTTCCATCTCTGACGACCCTGACATACCTTGGGACTTGATGGCATCTGGATTCCTCGTCCTGACTGGTCAGTGAGCATCGGTGGTTGAAGGGAAAGGGAACAAAGGAAAGAGAAGCAGTGGAAGTGGGCTGCAGAGGGAGGCAGAGTGGGTGGGAGGCAGCCAAAGCCTGCCTCCAGCAAGGACAGCCTGGCCATTTTGTGTCCTCAGGAGGGATTGACCATAGTGGGCGAGCCCTGCTGACCATCACCCCGCCGTGCCCTCCTGTGGAGCCCCTACCCTCCCAGAGCATGCTGAGCACTGCTCTTCATTACCTGCACTCATTGCTCAGGTAACCGAGGCCCATTGCTGGCACCCTGGACACTAACCTCGTGGGTCATGAGGACTTTGACTCCTCTCTTCTCAAGACACTAACCTCCTGACATCTAGGACACGTATTTCCCAAAATTTCAAGTCATTGACTTGTGACTTTACTGAACTCCCAGGATACCTACATAGATCTTTATAATCAACACTGCTGACTTTTAATATCCTAAAACACTCCCTAGACTATCAGGATGTTGACTCGCTTGTTCAACAACTATATACTGAACACCAAGAACCTATTAGAGACCATGCTACATGGTGGCATTGAATTTATTCCTTCCAGAGCAAAGAATTCTTAATTTTCCAGACCCTGACCTGTGACCTAATAGCCATGTAAATACAAACTGCTGATTGCTAGGTCACACCGCTTCTTGAACACATATCCCAGACTTTGGCTCTTTGGCGGCCTTTGCCCATTTTCTCCCAAATATACCAGAAACTAACTTTTGCAAACGAATAACACTAAACCCAGACTCTGTGTTACTATTCCCCCAACACACACACACACACACACACACGCACACGCACACACACACACGCTGCCTCCCTGGCTCTTCCTGCCCCCACAGGCCTGATCTACAGACACTGGGGCTGTCCGTCCTGCTAGACCTTCGCAAGGCACCACCCCTGCCTCCAGCACTCATTCCTGTCCTCAGTCAACTTCAGGTAATCAACCCCTTGAGACAGGTACTTCTCCTGATCCTAGCCGTTCCGCGCTGGCCATCCCAGGCCAACCAGTCGCCCACCATTTGGGGCTTTTCTTCCTTCAGGACTCAGGAGACCCCCGCCTCATTCAGCGACTGCTGCTTCTCAGTCATAACGACCCTCCGGCTGAGCCCCATGGATTACAGGTTTGAGCCCCTCCCACCTCATGCCCCTCCGCAGTGGAGAGAGAAGAGGTTAGCTGGAATCCAAGGGTGAGAAACCCCCTGCCTCCATATGTCTACAGGGTGCTGAGTTGCTGTCAGAGAATGATCTGAAAAGAGTGGCCAAGCCAGAGGAGCTGCAGTGGGACTTGGGAGGTCACAGGGAGCCCTCTCCCAGCCACTGGGTAGAGACACACCAGGTAAGCTGCACTTCCTCCACCCAGGACACGGGGAGCCGGGAATGACCCCACTGAGAACACTCTAGGAGGCAAGGCAGAGCTGAGACACAACCAAGGGGTTGGGAAAAAGTGGTTTCCCTTCCATTCAATTCAACATTATATAATTGTGGCTCACAAACCATGAGCAAAATATTGTGCATTACCATGCGTGGGCTACTGAGGAAATGGGATGAGTATATTAAGCAAAAAATTTAATTGATTTTAGAGAGAGAGAGAGAAACATTGATGTGAGATATATCTATAGGTTGCCTCCTGGGGATCAAACCTGCAACCCAGATAGGTATGTGCCCTGACCAGGAATCGAGCCCACGACATTCCTATGCATGGGACAATACTCCAACCAACTGAATCACACCAGCCAGGACTTAAATAAATTCTTTTTAAAATATATATTTTATTGATTTTTTAAAATATTTTATTGATTTTTTTTTTTTACAGAGAGGAAGAGAGAAGGATAGAGAGTTAGAAACATCAATGAGAGAGAAACATTGATCAGCTGTCTCTTGTACACCCACTACTGGGGATGTGCCCGAAACCAAGTTACATGCCCTTGACTACCAGAATCGAACCCGGGACCCTTCAGTACACAGGCCGATGCTCTATTCACTGAGCCAAACCTGTTAGGGCCTAAATAAATTCTTAATATGATATTAACCTGCATGTGAATTTTGGTGGGAGATGTCAGAAACAACTGAAGAACTGCAAAATACCATCACTGGGGTTCTGGAAAGAGCTGAGAGTCAGAAAGTTTGATTCTGGTTCCACATGACATTGGATAGTTACTGTGTCCCACTTCCTGAGCCTTTCTGTATACACTCCCTGCACCAACACCCAGGCCTCAGGATTCTCCCCATACAGGACATCCATTGTGATAAAATTTCTGATTCTATGAATCAAAGTGTATACAAGAAAAGTAGAGTAGCCCGGCCCAGGGTGGCTCAATGTCTGAGCGTTGATTTATGAACCAGGAGGTCGTTGTTCGATTCTTGGTCAGGGCACTTGCCCTGGTTGTGGGCTCGATCCCCAGTAGGGGGTGTGCAGGAGGTAGTTGATCAATGGTTCTCATCATTGATGTTTCTCTCTCCCTCTCCCTCTCAGATATCAATAAAAAATATTATTTTGGTAAAAGAAAAGAGGTGTAAACCTGATCTGAGCCAAGTACTAAAGGAGATCTAAAAAAAAATAATTAAAAAAAGTAAAGGAGGTCTGTAACATGGTCTCCAAGTTATATACATGGAACCTGGATCTAAATAGGCTGGGAAGAGGGTTTTATAGGGTAAGGACCTATAAAACACGAGGGTTTTATAGGGTAAGGACCTATAAAACACGAGGCTCCTTTCCTTGCAGATGAAGGAAAGGAGCCTCGTGTTTACTAAGCTCCACAATGTGGCAGGCCCATGCTGGGTGCTTATATAGCAGCATCTCTTTAAACCTCACAAAATCCCAGATGTCTTACTTGGACTTCCCAGTTGATGACAGTGAGATTCAGGGGGGTTCCTGGACCTGCCCAAGGTCATACGATTAGTAAGCAACAAAGTCAGGAAATGAAGCCGGCATGGCCTCCACAAAGGTCTCTGGGGCTGCCCCGGGTGCTCCTTGGGCTCCACTCTGTCCCAGGACTCCATCCCTGTGTGCGTGTTTCAGGAAGTGGCAAGGCTGTGTCGGCTGTGCCAGGGTGTGCTGGGCTCTGTACGGCAAGCCATTGCGGAGCTGGAGGGAGCGGCAGAGCCAGAGGGAGAGGTATGAAGTGAGACGGGGCAATGGGGCCCGGGGAGGGGACTTTCTGGTGAAAGCCCAACTTTCAACTGCTCCCTGCTCCCAGGAGACGGTAGGAATGCCCGAGCCCCTACAGAAGGTGCTGGCAGATCCCCGGCTGACGGAACTGCAGAGGGATGGGGGTGCCATCCTGATGAGGCTGCGCTCCACCCACAGCAGCAAGTACGAGGGAGGGGCGGGTGTGCTGGGGCAGGTGGACACACAACAGAGGGTGGCCAATAACCTTCGCTGCCAGAACATTCTCACTGAGCGTGCTCTTCTACTTACCATCTCATAACCCTCACAAGGTCCCTGCCTGCGAGTTGTGATTACAAATGGGGATTTGGCGGGTCAGAAATGTTAAATGTCTTGGCCAAGGTTAGTCAGTTCATGAGTTAGGATTCAAGTCCAGGCCCACACGATGGCCCTTGGTGTTGTGCCACCTCTCTCATTGAGATGTGATGATGGAATAGGGGTGGAGGGGCTTGACAAGGCAGTGGTTCATTCTGCCCTACTCCTTCCTCAGGCTGGAAGGCCCGGGCCCAGCTACACTGTATCAGGAGGTGGACGAAGCCATTCACCAGCTTGTGTGCCTGTCCAACCTGCATGTGCAGCAGAAGGAGCAGCGGCAGCGCCTGCACCGACTCCAGCAGGTAAACCAGACCTCTTACTCCACCGTGGGCCTGGCCTCTAGCTCCCCGCTTTCACTGGTACAGCTGGTGGTGTTCTCCTAACCTGGCTTGGTTGACTGGCTCTCCCTCTCTCCTCACCTCCGCTGGAGATTAGTCGTGGTCAGTGTGAGATTCAACAAGAGAGAGATAGTATCCATCACAAGACCTACAAAGAGAAGCCACCTCTCCCCTTCCGGCTGTATGTTTGATCAGGTCTCCTTAATGATTGTGAGAGATGCTCAGTATCCTCGGGGGTCTGGGAAGAGATGATTGATCCTGGAGTGCCTACCTCCTTAGCTGTGAAATAATAAATAGCTGTTGATACCAGCTCTTTATTCTGCCACCCATGTTCCCTCAACTCTTATGTCTTTATTGATTTCAGGGAGGAAGGGAGGAGGAGAGAGATATAGAAGCATCACTGATGGAATCATTGATCAGCTGCCTCTTGCACACCCCCAAGAACCAATGACTCACTCAAGGCCACAACTCAGGCATGTGCCCTGACCAGGAGTCAAATTGTGACCTCCTGGCTCATGGGTCATTCAACCACTGAGCCACACCAGCCAGGCTCAACTCTCTCTCTCTCTCTCTCTCTCTCTCTCTCTCTCTCTCTATATATATATATATATATATATATATATATATATATTTGATTTCAGAGAGGAAGGGAGAGGGAGAGAGAGATAGAAGCATCCATAATGAGAGAGAATCATTGATGGGCTGCCTCCTGCACGCCCCCGACTGGGGATCAAGTTTGCAATCTGGGCATGTGCCCTGACCAGGAATTGAACCATGACCTCCTGGTTCATAGGTCGTAAACTTAACCACTAAGCCACGCTGCCGAGCATGGGCTCAACTCTTTATCCAGTGTCATCCACCAAACCTGAGGCTGGAAAGGCCCCTTGGAAAGAGAGGGCAACCCAGGCCTCCTTGTGGGGGAGACTTAGGGCTAAGGCCGGCTTCTCCGAACCTTGGTTTTTCTCTGCCATGGTTAAGAGCCCCTTACGGACTTGCTCTCCACCCTGCCACGTGGAGTAGAGGGGGCTTTGAAATCTGATTGCTCTTTTTCTAACCCCAAGCAAGGTGAGTGAATTCACATCACGGGCCTGCCTCTGGGCATATTTGCTCCCTCCATTCCCGTATCCAAGAGCTATATATCTTACTGTGTGTTTGCTTGATTGCTTATTACCTGTTTTCTCCCACAGTTTAAAAACCGTTAGCCACAGCCCTTGCCACTTTGGCTCAGTAGTATGTCATCCTGTGGACTGAAGGGCCCCAGGTTTTGATTCCTGTCAAGTGTTGTGGGCTCAGTCCCCAGTGTGGAGCATGCAGGAGGCACCGATCAATGATTCTCTCTCATCACTGAAGTTTCTCTCTGTTTCTCTCTGAAATCAATAAAAATACATTTTAACACACTCAAATGTTAGCACATATGATTTGAAGTCTAATGTGCTCAGCTTGAGTTCTTGCTCTGCTAGGAGTAAGATGTTGGGCAAGTCTTAAAGCTTTGCTGAGTTCCCAAGTCCTCAATCTGTAGAATGGAGATGATAATTACACTTACAGGGGTGTAAGGACCAACCAAGTGAATTCAGCAAAGGACTATGGAAGTGTTAGGTAATTAGGAGCATTCTGACTTATCCTCAGGCAGTTTCACCCAGCTTCCAGCCTTGCTTCAGAGGAAAAAATTACCATCCCTTTTTTGTCAACTAGCCAACTAGCAACTAGTGAGTCACTAGAGCTCATAATAGGCAACTAGAGCTGCATACAGGTGCTTGTGTGTGCGCACACACACACACACACGCACGCACGCATGCACAACCACCTCCTGAACCCTCTCTCCAACCCTGATCCCTGGGTACCCAGCACACCCATCACTGGGCTCAGTAAATGTGAAGTTTCTCCTGGTCCTCATTTCGATTCATCATCCCCTCATCCTGCCTCAGGCTCAAACAAGTTTTATTGATTTCATCTTTAGGTATATCCCTGGGACCCTCCCCCACCTGCCTCAGTGCTTCCTGCCAGCCTAGCTTCCCCTTCATCTGGGGCTTCACAAAGATCTTACTTTTCTCACTTGGCCGTGTGGAAACGACTACCATTCAGTGTTAGCATTCCCACTCTACCGCTGAGATCAAACAGTTCACCCGAAGTTCTGCTGGTTGGGCTGGTTGGGCTGGTGGGGTTGTCGCTGGGCCTCGGCTTCCTTTTCCTTCCCTCGGCGAGGTCTCTTCTCCCTCTCAGCCTGCTCTCCCACCCTGCCTGCCCCAGGTGCTGCAGTGGCTCTCGGGTCCAGGGGAGGAGCAGCTGGCAAGCTTCGCTGCGCCCGGGGACTGCCTGTCTGCCCTGCAGGACACGGAGCTCCGATTCCAGGCTTTCAGTGCTGAGGTTCAGGTGAGAAGGGGCGAGGAGCAGGAGAGAGGAGGCATTCGGGAGGAAGTGGGGATTGAGCAGGAAAGAGAGCCAGGTCTGAGCGCAGCCCCCTCCTCCAGGAGCGCCTGGCCCAGGCACGCGACGCCCTCGCCCTGGAAGAGGACGCTGCCTCCCAGAAGGTTCTGGACGTCTTTGAACAGCGGCTGGAGCAGGTTGAGAGTGGCCTCCACCGGGCCCTGCGGCTACAGCGCTTCTTCCAGCAGGTGTGTGCGTGCGGCCTCATTCTTCTGCCCGACAGACGGATGGGCTCGTCGGTAAAAGCAGGGACTCAGGTGGCCATCTCCCTGGCTTTCCCTGTTGGCTCTGCCACCTGCTTGCTCAGTGGCTGTGATGAGATGCCAAGCCCGAGTGTGTCTCCATAGGCTCCTGCCTCGCAGGGCTGCTGTGAGGACTATACAAGCCATATAAATAAAAGGCTCTTAGTGCAGCGCCTCCCACTGACAAATGCCATGTACACATTGGCTATTCTGCCATCTAGGCTGCGCTTCCTGTACCGGCTTAGATGGCATGGTCAGGCGGGATGCTGGGAGAGCGAGTGGACATGTTCTGAGAGGACCGGGAGGTGACGGGCGAGCCCTCGGGAAGGAGCCCATATCTGTCATCGGGCAGCATGTGGGAGAGCATGGGCCTCACGCCTTCCTCTCCCATTCCCAACCCCTTTGTAGGCACATGAGTGGGTTGATGAAGGCTCCGCCAGGCTGGCAGGTGCGGGGCCGGGGCGGGAGGCGGTGCTGGCCGCCCTGGCCCTGCGGCGAGCCCCGGAGCCCAGCACCGGCACCTTCCAGGAGATGCGGGCCCTGGCCCTGGACCTGGGTAGCCCCGCAGCCTTGAGAGAATGGGGCCGCTGCCGGGCCCGCTGCCAGGAGCTGGAGAGGAGGATCCAGCAGCAGCTGGGAGAGGAGGCCAGTCCACGAGGCCCCCGGCGGCGGCGGGCAGACAGTGCCAGCAGCGGAGGGGCCCAGCGGGGCCCCCACAGCCCCTCCCCCAGCCTCAGCTCCCTGCTGCTCCCCGGCAGCCCCGGGCCGCTAGCAGCCCCATCCCACTGCTCCCTGGCTCCCTGTGGGGAGGACTGTGAGGAGGAGGGCCCTGGACTGGCTCCAGAAGCAGAGGGCAGACCGCCGAGGACTGTGCTGATCCGAGGCCTGGAGGTCACCAGTACCGAGGTGGTGGACAGGACGTGCTCACCCCGGGAACACGTGCTGCTGAGCCGGTCCGGGGGCCCAGATGGGCCCTGGGGAGTAGGCACCCCCCGGATGGAGCGCAAGCGAAGCATCAGGTGAGAGAGCCCAGCCCAGTCAGTACCCAGAGGCAGGCCCAGCTGCCCAGCGGGAAAAGAATGACATTGTCGGGGTGGTGACTCCCACCCACGCCCCAGTCTCCTTTGCCACTCCCTGTTGCACCTGCAGTGCCCAGCAGCGCCTGGTGTCTGAGCTGATTGCCTGTGAGCAGGAATATGTGGCCGCTCTGAGCGAACCAGTGCCGCCTCCTGCGTCTGAGCTGACCCCCGACCTCCGGGGCACCTGGGCTGCGGCCCTGAGCGTCCGGGAGAGGCTCCGCAGCTTCCATCGGACACACTTCCTGCGGGAGCTTCAGGGCTGTGCCGCCCACCCCCTGCGCATCGGGGCCTGCTTCCTTCGCCACGTGAGTGATCCTATAAGACCTCATCCTTCTCCCGGTCATGTTTCAGCTCCGCCCACTGGATCCTCCTCCTCAGTGTCCGTTTCCCAACCCCATCCCCGCCAAAATGTGTGGTCCGAGACTCGGGCCTGGGCCCCTCTGGACCCGCTCAGCCTCTGCGTCCCTGTCCACCAGGGCTGCCTGGCCTTCACTCCCCACGGGAGCCCACCGTTCCCTTAGCAGACTGAGTGCTCCCTTCGGACGACAGCGAGGATGTGGAGGAGGAGAGGAAGGGGCCGTGGGCAGGGATGGCTTACTTCTTCTCTGCTGGCACAGGGGGACCAGTTCAGCCTTTACGCTCAGTACGTGAAGCACCGACACAAACTGGAGAACACTCTGGCTGCACTCGGCCCATCGACCAAGGTAACCTTTTCTCCAACCCTCATGAGAAGGGGAAGGGCCAGGAAGCCCTAAAATCCATCCACGCTCAAAATCTCGCAGGGGGGACAGAGAGGAGGGGGCGCTTTCCTGCTTGTGCCCAGGAACATGACCTACCAATAATCTCACAGAACCTAGGTTTTATCTAGTCCACCTGAGGGACTACTAGCCAAGACTCCTGGTTCCTCTGATCCTGTTTCTACACTGGCAAATGGGGGCAAAGTTCACTATCACTGATTCACAAAGTCCTGTGAGGATCAAAAGACCTCACAACAAAAGATATGAAAGTGACTTCAAAGGCTAAAAGCCAGAGACTATGAAGGATTATTTGTATTCCTCCTCCATTCCGTGTCAAGGTATAGAGGATGACTGAATCCCTGCATCTCTCTCTGGGGAAAGGTGGTTTGCCTTACACGTGGGGAGTATCTGAGCTTCATCTCCTCCCCAGAGCCTGGAGTATACCACCCACCCTCCCCACTGAGCTCAGGCCCCCCAAAATCTGGACGCTCCCCTAATCCCTGTCTGTCTCCTCCCCGACCTAGGGCTCCACAGAGGGTGCTCCTCACCTGCCCAGGGCCCTGCAGCAGCCGCTGGAACAGCTGGCCCGGTACGGGCGGCTCCTGGAGGAGCTCCTGAGGGAAGCGGGGCCTGAGCTGAGTTCCGAGCGCCAGGCCCTCGGGGCCGCAGTGCAGCTGCTTCGGGACCAGGAGGCCCGGGGCCGAGACCTGCTGGCTGTGGAGGCGGTGCGTGGCTGTGAGGTGAGGCCAGGCGCCCGTCACTCCCCCTCACACTGCCCGGCCCTGTGGCCTCCGGCAGTGTGGGATGGTGACAAGAGAACTAGTCTCAAGATCACGGGGTCCCAAACTGTCATTGGTAACCAGCTGGGTGACCACAGTCAAGTCACTGAACTTCACGTGGCTTCAGTTTCCTCGTCTTTAAATAAAGAAGCCGTATCCTGCTCGATACCCCATGACCCTCCATCTGCCTGTGCTTGCCTGTTCCTTTCCTAAGTCTTCTCTTTCTCCCATCCACTCTGCATTTCTTTCTGCATCTCAGCACTCAACACATACCTTATTCTCCTCTACCCAATCTCTTTCCAGCCCTGAGATTCAACAACAGGCTGAAACCTGCCTCCTCTGGGGTAGATTTCTTTCCCCATCAGGTCTCTGGTGATTCTCTTCCCGGGGCAAAATGGTGCTTTGGTCCCCAGTATTCCAAGGCTCCCCCATACGAGGCTGTAAACCCCACTGTGCAGTGGGTCCTTCCATCTTCAGAGGCCAGTGGTTCTGCTAGGCCAGCTGTGCTGCACACAGTGGCCAGTAGGTGGATTCTAGGCCAAGGGCTGCCCTGATTCCCTGACTCTGTCTGAGAATTAGTCATTAGGCCCTTGCCCTATAAATCCCACTAGTACTCCCCGTGAAACATTTGCAGAGGGTTCCAGGGCCAATAACCTTCCCTTTTCCTTTCTCCAGACAGACCTGAAGGAACAGGGACAGCTCCTGCACCGGGACCCCTTCACCGTCATCTGTGGCCGGAAGAAGTGCCTTCGCCATGTCTTTCTCTTTGAGCATCTCCTCCTGTTCAGCAAGCTCAAGGGCTCTGAAGGGGGGTCTGAGACCTTTGTTTACAAGCAGGCCTTTAAGGTACAGTGCCTGCAGGAAGGAGGGGTGGCAAGGAACAGGTCAGGAAGTCATGCTCTTCTTGAGAACTCACGATGTTCTGTAAATTCAACCCCAACCTGGGCTCAGAATCTGCATCATCTACAACAGGCTTTGGCCTGCAACCAACCATCAGTGAGGGTTTCGGGGTGATATTAGCCCATCATCAGTCTACTCCTTGGTGTTTTCCTTCTCATGCATGCAGGAGACCCATGAGGCATTCCAAGCCAGAAAGAAGGAGGGCCCTTCCCATTAAGAACACACATGCCTTTTGAGTCAGGAATGGTCCCTGGGGATGAGAAGAAAGGACCATCCCTTCAGGATGGGACTGAAGAAGCCAAAAGGAGGGAGAGCTTACCTTAAGGAATCAGCTCCGCAGTCCAGATAAACATCAGTGGCAACCTATGGCTATGTGGCATGACTCTAAGGGTTTCTAGACTTTGTCCCCATACACTAGTTCCAGCTCTTTGAGGGTAGAGTGGGGGAGAATAGTACGGGGGGGGGGGGGGGAGCCTAGGTTTGGAATAACATAGACATGAGTTTGAACCCTCCTTCTCTAAAGAACTATGATAAACCCTTGGGCACGTTGTTTCATGTCTCTGGGCATTCCCCTTCTATAAATTATGGTTGCTATGGAGACTAAATGTAGAGCACTTGGCCCATGCTAGGTGTTGAGCAAACATTTACTGAGCATCCGTCAGATGCCAGGCTAAGTGCAGTGCTTTTCCATGTGGTACTATCCAGCCCAGGACTCCCTCCATCCTCACCCACTCTTTCCCGCTCTTTCGCAGACTGCTGACATGGGGCTAACGGAGAACATCGGGGACAGTGGGCTCTGCTTTGAGCTGTGGTTTCGACGGCGGCGGGCACGAGAGGCGTACACTCTGCAGGCAGCTTCCCCCGAGATCAAACTCAAGTGGACAAGTTCTATCGCTCAGCTGCTGTGGAGACAGGCGGCCCATAACAAGGGTAACAGGCAGAGATGGGAAGGGTGTGCCAAGGGTCGGTTATGGCAGGTTAGCTGGAAAGTGTGGAGACCACTCGGGAAAACGGGGTGTATAGGATGGAGAAAGAAGAAGGACTTAGGAGAATATTCAATTTACGGTTTGAGAAAGAAAGCTGAGATACAAAGTAGGCTAAGGTGAACCAAAAGGAAAGAGGAATCTAGCAGATTTCAGGGAAGCGAGAGCAAATGGCTGGGCAAGAGAGAGAGAGAGTATGCACTGGACCTGGGTCACAGACTCACTTGCTGTGGGACCTGAGCTCGTTTGTTTTGGCCCTGCATGTGCTTTTTGTGCTTTTTTTTAAATTATCTGAACCTCATTCCACTCGTATGAAAAAAAATGGAAAGGAAATGGACAGCTCAGTGTGTTGGGGGAATATTAAGTAAGGTGATATATATATGGAAGCACTGGGTAAACTGTAAAGGTACGTAAAAAATGTGAGTTTCGCTCTTAACACCCAAGATAAAAGGAAGAAAAGTTGTGTCGGAAGACAAGCTGGGCAGCTAGCATGGTAAATGGGGAGGATGAAACTACAGGAGGTAAGAGGCAGGTGTTTGAGGAGGAAGATGGACAAGGGACCCCAGAGGAATGAGAGGGAGGAATAAGAGTTGGCAAGGAGCAGGGAGTCAACCTTAAAGGGCTAGGGCTGGAGCAGAGATGGGGCAAACCGAGGGTGGTAACGGGGTCTCTGTTTCCTAGAGCTCCGAGTGCAGCAGATGGTCTCGATGGGCATTGGGAATAAGCCCTTTCTGGACATCAAGGCTCTTGGGGAGCGGACGCTGAGTGCCCTGCTCACTGGAAGAGGTGAGGGCCACAGTGCCGGGGCGTGGACCGCAGAGCCAAGACCTTGACCAGTGAAGGTGCAGCTGGGGAAGCATGGTACAAAGTGAGGAAGGGTAACGAGCGGATGTCTTCCCAGAGATTGTGGAACGGACTGGGAAGCCCTCTGCGAAGCTTAGGGTCGTTTCAGGGAGCCAGGAGGGCTTTCCCACACCAGCACCCCACCCCTCCCCCACCCCCACTCTCTGCAGCCGCCAGGACTCGGGCCTCTGTGGCCGTGTCATCCTTTGAGCATGCCGGCCCCTCCCTTCCGGGCCTCTCACCGGGAGCCTGCTCCCTGCCTGCCCGCGTCGAGGAGGAGGCCTGGGATCTGGACGTCAAGCACATTTCCCTGGGTGAGGCACCTCTCAAGGGGTGGCTCCCCCCAACAGCTGGGTCATCGTTGTGATGTTCAGGCTGCTTGCTGCTGAGCAATTCCTTTTTCTAGCCAAGTAGCCCCATTGCCATGACAACTATTTACAGCTTCCCCGTTGCTAAAAGAGCCTTCCATCTGGTTGCTAGGGTACCCCTACAGCAGCCTGTTGCTATGAAGCACTTCCTCTGTACCTCTCTCTCTAGCTCTCCTTGGGTTTCTATGGAAACTGCCTCAGCTTCCTGTCATACCCACCTGGTTCACCAAGGCAATCCTTATAGTTTCCTGTCGCTTCTTCCCTGGTTGCTCTAACGACGACGCTGCTGACAATTTCCTGCCTCTTGGTAGGGGGGTGGTTTCTCTTGCAAGTGGATTGCTATGGTGACTCACAGCTTCCTGTTGCTATAGAGCTTTCTCTTCCCTGATGGAGCAGCTTGGTTGCTTGAGGTAATCTAGTTCTGTGCCCTGCTCTCATCCTGGCTTCTCCTCTAGCCCCAGAAACACTTGACTCTTCCGGAGATGCGTCCCCAGGACCAAGAAACAGCCCCAGCCTGCAACCCCCCCACCCTAGGAGCAGCACTCCCACTCTGGCCACTGGAGGGATCTTGGGGCTATCCCGGCAGGTAAGTCCCTGCGGGAGAGCCAGGAATGGCTGACCTCCTCAGCCACTCCTTGGGCGGGCTCTTCTGATCTTTCAACCGATGAGGGAGGGGAGCCTGGGAGCCCCTGCTGCCAGCAAGGCTACAGGCTGCATACAGCCTGCCTTTGTCCTCTCCCCCACCCCTGGCTGAGAGGCACTGCGGTCAAAAGTGAAAAGGAATCTTTAGTAAAGAGCATATTGCAGGAGAGGGTGGGAAGGGGAGAATGCCAACAGCCTAGCTTGGACTTGGATTAAATCTAGGAGGAAAGACGTGAATTGACAGGTGGGATGTCATTTCTTCTCCTAATTCACTGCCATTTCTCTCCCCTAAGAGTCATGCCCGAGCCCTGAGTGACCCCACCACGCCTCTGTGACCTGGGTGAGTCAGTACCCCCTTCCCACCACCTCCACCCTCCTTCCCTCTTGCATGTACCAGCCTTCCTCCCCAAAACTACTTAGGAGTCAGCCTCGTCTCTCTCCCAACCCATCTCCCTCTTCTCTCCCGGTTTCCAGAGAAAACCCAGAACTTGGCTACAGCCCCTCCTCTCAGCACATTTTGGGCTGGGCTGGCAGGGGGACATAGTGAAGGACTGGAAGAGCACTGGCTTCCCTCCTTCTGCTTCCTGGACAGAGCAAAGGGCCAGCGTGCTTCCCTGCTGCCACTATCTCTGTCGCTCTCCCCAACTGGGTGCCTTCCTTCAGGAACCAAAGTAGCCATTCGTGCTTGCCTTCAGACCCACGAGGTGGGGGACTATCCCTGGCCCAGTCCTTCCCCATCCTGGGCCACTGCTCACTCCCAGGGTACAACCCGTGCCAGGCTCCCCTGGTGGCCCGTGTTTCCCCTTCTTCCCACCCCGACTCTCCCTGAGAAGACCCGGCCCTGCCAGGTTACCCATAATTCCTAGTGACTCCATTTCTGGGGGGCCATAGGAAATGGGAGCTATGCAAACCAATATATGAGGGTGGGGCGGGAAACTGCAAACTTTATATGTGTAATTACTGTTATTATAATCCTATTGTTGTATTAAATGTATTTACTCACAGATTGTGTCAAAGCTAGAAGCCGTCCTCTGAGTTGAGGTGATAATACTAACTTGAACGCTTCCCCTCAACCAAATCTCGGTGAGGGCGGGGCCTAAGAGAATGTCCCTTCTCCAATGTGGTTCCCAGAGACTCAATGCACCCTTTGAAGCTCCTCCTCTCACAATATACCCACGTCTTGAGGCAAAGCCAGGCACAGTTAAGGTGGAATTCGGCACAGTCCTCCGACCACAATGCATGAGAATCCCTTAGGCCACTTGCTAAGTGCCAGTTCCTGGGCCTACAGCGGGGCTGCTGAAGCCAAAGCCTGGGGGTAACACCCACGCTCTCTGGGTGATAACTGAGGTGCCTCTTTCCTGGACAGAAAGGTCCACAGAGGAGGACAGGACATAGGCAGACAGACTCAGGGTCCCTGTGCCTCAAGACACCTGTTTATTGGGGACACAACTCTGCGACAGGGATGACAGGAATCGTACCAAAAATAGCGACGTCTACAGGACCCCTGAAGGGGCTTAGAAGGGTACAGTGCCCCCCACCCCCACCCATTGTACAAAAATAAACTCTCATGCCTATGGACCAGCAAGGACTGGCAGAGCATCTCCTCAACAGGGGCACAATCCTCTCTGCCAGCCCTGGGAACCCATTCTTTGATCCTCACCCCTGCCACTTCTAAGGCACTGTGACTCCCCTGGGCTGGGTGCGTACCGCCCACCCACCCCCTACGCCCTCCATACCCTTTACCTCTGGTCCACCGGGGGCTGGGATATGGGTCCCACACTGCCCCCCTGCTGGCTGCTCTACCCAACTACCTCTAGTGCTCCCCCGCTCCTGCAGGGTAAGCTCACTACACTAACGGCCCCTAAGAGGGCTCCCTACCGTTCTTGCCCCCCCAATCCCACCTCTCCGGACCTCAAAAGCCCGGGGCCCTCCTCCCCTTCCTGCAGAGGAGGGCTGGGAGGGGTCTCTCCCGATGGTGCTCGGACATAGGGCAGCGACACATCGGCCTGGGGGAGCCGGCGGCCCCGAGCCCGGCGACTGTGGTGCACTTGCAGGTGCAAGGCCATGAGCTCGGGGGCTCCGGTGGCGAAGGGGCAGAAGAGGCAACGGTGGAGGGCACCCCCGGGCCCGGCCTCGCCTCCCGGCCCCGCCCGCAGGGACAGGTCCAGGGGTTCGGCCTCACCGCCTCGCCCGTTGCGCAGGGTCCTCCCCGGACTGGCAGGCTTCCTGCGGGACCCCGGCGCGGTGCTGCTGGAAGGCCGGGGGCTCGGGGTGCCCTCCACCCAAGTCGTAGGCTGCGGAGCCCCCTTGGCCCCGGACGTCTGGGCTGAAGCCCGCTGGGAAGGGGGCGGCTCCGGGGGCGGCCCCGGGCCGGCCCCACTCCTCTGCTCCCGGTGGTGGCGCTGCAGGTGGTACTTGAGCGAGCCGGACTGGGTGCCCGCGTAGTCGCAGTGCGGACACTTGTAGGGGCGCTCGCCTTTGGGGAGGGGGGTGTGATAGGGTCAGAGTCGAGGTCACTGCCCGCCCCCATCCACATCCTGTTCAACATACAGACAGACCTCCTCTGGACCAGGAAAGACACGCTGCCTCTCCCACCCCCTCGGATTTATTAAAGAAGGCTTTCCCTACACCCTCCCCTGGCCAATCTGAGGGCTGCCAAGTGTGGTCTGCCTGTCCCTTCTCTCCCTGCCCTCTGGTGCCCTCCCACCCCGGAGGCTGCCCCCTCACCTGTGTGCACGCGCAGATGCACTTTGAGGTGATGCGCCGAGCGGAATGATTTCCCGCAGAAGGGACAATCCTTGCCGGTGCCCCCCCGGCTCCCTTCAGACCGGTTCCCTCCGACCAGCAGCCCATTCTCTTCTGCAACACACACGTTAAAGGGGATCAGAGGAGCCCGTTGCCCTCACCCTATCAGAGCCATGTGCCCCACACCCACCCATCTTCCCCTTAAGGTCTGCAACAGCGTGTTGGGGGAAATGAGGGGTTGGCTATGCTGCAAGTTGAGCTGGTGCATGATGAGCTCCTTTCCAAAAGGAGGGGCGGGGAGAGGAGCAGAAGTGTCAGGGTGGGACCAGATGTGGTAAACCTCAGAGACAGGAGGGATACCCCTTACGTACCCTGCGTGGCAGTGGGCCTCGCCTGGGCCCCCGAAGCAGGTGCAGAGTGCCCTGGCCCCTCCCCTGGGCGTGGGTGCAGCGAAGCCAGAGGGCCCAACGCCCTGTTGCGGGCCCAGGTCTCCTCCTCGGCCTCCGCTACCTCCTCTTCCTCCTCGGGCTCCTCGGCGGCGCGGTGCCGGCGAGCCCGGGCCGGGAGCGCAGAGGGCAAGGGGCGGAAGCTTCCGAAGCTGCGGCCAGCCCCGGACTCGGCGCCCTCGCCATTGGGCCGGGCTTCGCCGGCTCGCAGGCTCAGGTAGCCCAGGAGGCTCGCAGGCTCCCGGCGCTCAGCCGGGGTGGGTGCGGGGGCCAAGAGGAGCGTGGGGCCCAGTGGTTCGTAGGCCAGCAGGCCCAGGTCAGGAGGTTGGGGAGCCCGGGCAGGCCCAGAGACGGGCCCCGGGGCGCGCAGTGGACCCAGCTTGCTGGCGTGCACCTTCATGTGATTCTTAAGGAACCAGGGCTCCTTGAAGCAACGGCCACACACGGGACACGCGTGATCAAAAGAGGCCTTGTGCTTGCGCATATGGCCCTTGAGAAACCAGGACTGGGTGAAGCTCTGGCCACACACTTGACAGCGGAACTCTGGAGGTGCAGGAGGCTCCTCGGGAGCAGCAGGGGCTGGGGTTGCCTCACGTTCGGGCTCCAGCTCCGGCTCCGGCTCCGGCTCGGGCTCAGGGACTGATCTGTGTTCAGGTTGGGGTGGAGGTTGAGGCTGCGGGGCAGCCGAGGTGGCCGCCAGAGGGCGCTCCGGAGCCCCGTGGGCCGTCAGGCTGTGATGCAGCAGCTCCTCCTCCTGGCTGGAGCCAAAGCTGCAGAGGCCACACTTCCAGGGCCTGTGCAGGATGTGCAGGTGGCGTTCCCGCTCCGCGGCGGTGCGAAACTTGCCTTTGCAGAAGGGGCATCGGAAGGAGGACGCTGATGGAGCCTGGGGCCGCACCAGGCTCTCCGTGGCCGGGGTGGCTTGTAGGCCCCCTGAGCTCCGGGCTCTTCCGGACCGGGCCTCGCGCAAGAGCGCGCGTTCCTCCAACTCCAGCAGCAGGCGCGCGGCGGGGCTCCGCGGGCGCTCCGGCTGGTGCGTGCGCAGGTGCGAGCGCAGCAGGGCCCGCTGGGCCGCGCGGTGGCCGCAGTGCGGGCACTGGAAGGCCTGGGCGCCCGGGTGCGCCCGCAGGTGCAGAGCCAGGATGGAATTGAAGCGGAAGCGCTTTCCGCAAACAGGGCAGGGGAAGCGCCTTTCGCCAGCCCGACTCTCAGACCAGCCCACCGCTCCCATGCCTGGAGACCCTGCGGCGGTCAGGCCCGGTCCGTTGGAGTAGCGCTGCAGATCCAGTTCTCCGTCGAAGGCCGGCGGGGAGGGCGCTAAGTGGCCGCCCAGAGCGCGGGGACGTGAGCCCTGTGGAGAAGGGTGTGCACAGAGCAAAAGAGAAAGGAGAACTGTGTGGGGTGAGAAGGACATGGAGAGCCATAGGGCCCAAGGGAGGGGTGGATGGGGGCCCACACCAAGTACACCGGGTACCCTTTCCACTCAATTTAGGGAAACTGGAGGATGAATGGGAATTGGGCTTGTTGGGGCCACGGAGATAACTTACAATAATGGCAGGTCAGAAGGTGAGAGAAGGTAGGGAGGGGAGGGAGTAGAGTTGTAGGTACGTGCGGGTTCAGGCCAAGCTTCACTCACCTCCATGGACCCCTTTCACATTCTTTGGTTCTGGGGAGCGCGGGGAGGAGGAGGAGGGAAAGCTGCTAGTGAAGGCAACAGGTGCTGAAGAGCTAAAGCAAAAAGAGATAGATTTGGAGGAAAAGATAAGTCCTGATTTTCAGCCGTGGAAATAATCACTCCCAACTCAATGCTCTTAGCACCCTGTATTCCTGAAACCCTTCCCCCTCCTTGCATCCTGAGGCAGGAGGCGGCTGCTGTCACCAGAACTTGTACTCCTTGATTTGCCCATGCCCCAGCTTCCTTAGAACGTAGATTTTTTTTCCCCCTCCCAAATACATTCTAAATGCCTGGCCCAGGACAACTACAACTACCACCACTATCACCACCACCCCCTGGTGGTGAGGGTGGTACCATCACAGTACAGCCCTCTCTGGTTTAGATTGGGGTGTGCAGCTTGATGAGCAAATGGGGTGGGCTTGCCATGCCCCACGGTTATCCAAGTGGGAACAGTTGCTCTCAGATACCTAACTGACCAGCCAGCCAAACATCCTTCCCGACCCCACAGCCCTTCCTTTGCTCTCACCCTGTCTTTCTGTCTTTCCCCCTCATCCTCCCTCCCGCTGCCTGGATTCCTGATCCATTCATTTCCATTCATTACAGAGACTCATTCATGCATGGGAGAGAAACACCTCCCAGCAGCAGCAGTCTGGAGACAGACAGCGGGGGGAGGGGCACGCAGGGGGAGAGAGCCAGAAGGAGAGGGAATGAAGAAAGAGTTGGGGGAGGAATGGAAGTTAAGGGGCGCTGCTGGCCTGGGGAAGGGGCTAAAAACTGCAAATACCAGATAGGATTCATTCCCGTGTTTCAAACCTTAGAACCTGCAGTTTGCGGGGGCATCTCAGCCCCTTTGTCCAGGGCTGTTCCGAAGCAGGCTTTTCTCCTCTCTGCAGGGGAGAGGCTCGCTCACACAAGAGGAGGATTACACTGGCTCTGAGCTCAAGAGGCTGGAGTGAGGGACTGGGGGCGGGGCTGGGCCATCTGCACAGATAGGGGCTCAGCACATGCTCTGAGCAGAATAGGGTTAAAATTCTCCAGGCTAAAATTCCCTGGGCCTGGGATGTGCACAGGTCCAGTTCTGAGGAAGAAGGGAACGGAGAGGAAGAGGATTGGGGGTGGGGGTGGGGGGCTTGCTCCTGATCATAAGCTGCAGAGGAGGTTAGCATTAAGACACAGAAGCCATCCCAGAATTAAGATTCATGGAAATATGCCTGGGAGGCTGACCAGAATTCAGTCAGTATACCTTCCTGCTTACATATATAATTTTATCTGGTCAAGGCTAGACAAATGGGGACTGTATCAATTTTTTCCCCTGAAATAGAAAAAATATTTGATATATAAAGAACTTTCTTACAATAGGCATGGAATGGGTTACTAAGCAAGAAAAAGACTCAAGCATTACTTTGCTTAAGGATCTTGAATGGAAGAAAATTGGGCCAGAAGTCAGCCCTGCTTATCAGCAAAGAAAAGCTCTGAAGGTCCAAGTTTCCTTAATTTTTGATATTTACTGGATGTGATAAGACTCCATGAATGGGTCCTGGCAGCATGACTCAGTGGTTAGAGCATTGGCCCATGAACTGAAGGATTCCAGGTTTGATTTTGATCAAGGGCACATACCTAGGTTGCAGGTTCCCCACCCCAGTTGGGGTGCATGCGGGAGGCAACCAATTGATGTGACTCTCTCATATCAATGTTATTTTCTCTCTTTCTCCTCTCTTGCCCTCCCCACTCCCTTCCACTCTCTCTAAAATCAATGAAAGAACTATCCTTCAGTAAGATTAATGACAACAAAAAAGAATCAACCAATGAGTGCATAGAATGGGTGGAACAACAAATCCATGTTTCTCTCTATAATCAATAAATAAAAAATTAAATTAAATTAAAAATGACCCTAGCCGCTTTGGCTCAGTGGATAGAGTGTCGGACTGCAGACCGAAGGGTCCCAGGTTCGATTCTGGTTAAGGGTACAGGCTTCTCCCCAGCCCAGTCAGGGAGTGTGCAGGAGGTAACCAATCGATGTTCCTCTCACATCGATATTCCTCCCAGTCTTTCCCTCTCTCTTTCATTCTCTCTGAAAATCAATGGGAAAATATCCTCAGGTGAGTTTTTTAAATAAATAAATGAAAAGATTATTTATTTTAAAAAAAATTACTCCCTTGGCCAGCATGGTTCAGTGGTTGAGCATTGACCTATGAACCAGGAGGTCATGGTTTGATTCCTGGTCAGGTCAAATGCCCAGGCTGTGGGCTTGATCCCCCGTGTGGGAGTGCAGGAGGCAGCCAAGCAATAATTCTCTCTCATCATTGATGTTTCTATCTCTCTTTCTCTCTCTCCCTTCTCTAAAATCAATTATATATATATACACACACACACACATTAAAAAAAAAAAAAAAAAAAAAAAAAAAAAACTCCATGAGCTAGCAGGTACCTGTTACATGTGGAATCTGGGTTAAGGGAATTTTATTAACAAGAGGTTATTTAAGAAAGTGTCCAAGGTTCACTAAATAATCTCCACCACACTTTTAATATTTGTATTTCTGTAGCTCCAAATTAGTGCATCCACCCTCCTCTTCTGGATTCTAAAAAAAATAAATAAAAATAAAAAAATCCCCTTTCTGGAACCAAGAGTCTAGCCAGGCTCACTGAGTGGTATCATGAAATGTGTAGAATAAGGCCAAAGGGTACAAGGCTATTGTGGGCCCAATCAGACCATTAAAAGCCATGCAACCTTCAGTGGATCACTTAACATCCCAGCTTACTCATCTGTACAACAAGGGGACTGAACAAATGTATATAGATGGCTCCTTCCAACTAGAAAGTTTTGTAGTTCTGAGTCACAAGACTTCTGGACCCCAAGAGGAGTTAAAACAAATGGTCATCCCTTCAGTACCATGGAGAGTGCAGTGGGCTACCAGAGGAGCCACTGTGGCCACCTCATTACCCAGGTAGTGCTAGGAAGTGCCAGAGGGGCCACATTTGGCATTTGAACGCCATAATTGAGGCACTGAGAAAAGCTACATTTTAAAAATCTCTTCTCTGGAAGCCGTGGGGGAGGGAGGGAAGAACAGTGGTACCAGAAGGTTTATTTTTGCCTTTTGGATGACACTGAAAATAGATAAGATGTAACAAAATAGATGTAACTAGAAGAATTTTAATTAGCTATAAGGAGTGTCCTGACAGTTACAGTTTGTACATCCTGGAACGAGTGAGTGAGGCATCATATTTGGGTCCATCACATTCTGTTGCTCTCCTGGGGATTCCCGGAACATCCTGGTGTACAGCCAATCTGGTATATTCAGAGGAAGCAGATGGTGGGGGAGGAGGGGGAAGGCTGGGAATACTGCATGGTCATAGCTGACTAACCTATGGGCGCATACTCTGATTCTGAGAAGATTCTAGAGCCCCTGAAACTGCCTGTAGGATAGTAAGCAAAATATTTCAGGGGAAGTTGACCTCATATCTGAGGCAAGTAGGGCTGGAGTAGGACAAAGCTTTCTCCCCCACCCCACCCTACCTTCAAAAAAAACACTGCTTCATACACAGCAGTTTCTAGGATAGAAATACAGTAATATACAAGAAGAACCATACTGAAACTATTATTCCTGAGCAGGGGAACTTTCCCCAAAGGGTAGCCTCAAATCAATAAACCCACTGAGAGACCCTCTAGACACAATCAAGATCTGAATCACCTCCACACCAAACCAGGTCACAGGCACCTAATCCGACGAGGCTTTCCCCATAGGAGAACACAGTGACCGAGCCCACGATTCTATGAACTGGCTTAGAACCCAGGTCATGCATCTATTGCTTGTGGGCAATAATCAACAGTTTTCTATCGTCGGGCCCTAACCACCATCCCTGAGACTTGGCCAGACAGTAGCACTGACCTACTTTCCTCCCACACTGGGAATCAGGGGTTATCTTGCTCTTATTTGGGTTCTATAGGGACATAAGGCTGGGGTTGGGATCAGAAATCTTCCCAAAGCAACAGACAGATTACTTTTATGTGCGAGGAGAGCTGGTGGAGAAGGGGGTGTGGACCACCAAACCTCACCGAGTAGGGAAGGAGGAAAGGTTTGGTGAGAAGGTTCTTAGAAACAACAGGGACGGGTACCTAGAAACGTCTGCTGACTGGAGAACCATGATATTTATCCCTCAAGCCTTGTGGTTCAAAAGTTGATAGGGGCAGTGTAAGGGGCAAGAGTTCAGGACTTCTGAGGTATAGCTGTGGGGAGGCACTGCTCCCTGATAATTTCTAATACTTGCTGTCTTTCTCTCTATTCCTATACCTCCATAAGCCCTCTAACAATTATTAACATTGCATTAGACGGGGTTAAAGAAAAGGAACTTCTTAGAGGGTCTAGAGTTAAGACCACCTTTATCAAATGTCCCTTTTTAGGGTCTTTTCTCCATAGCCCTCTAAACATCACTGCTCAGGTAGCTCCCCCAAACTGACCACAGACCACAGCCTGCCTACCTTTTACACCGAGTGTACACTCTCCCGAGTTGGGGGCATGGAATCTTAGCCAGGAACTCCAAGAATCTAGCAGGAGGCAAGAGGAAGGTACACCTGCTCACCTCCTGCCACCCCACCATGGCGGTGTGCCTTATTCCAGAGGCATGTCCCAACTTGACCCCTCTCCTGAAAGTTCTAGATCTGTGGGAGGGGGCACAGAGCAAGCCCTGAGTTCCCTGAACTGGAACTGACCCTAAGAGGTCAGAGTCTCAGCACCCATAGGGGCCCCAGTGCTGAGATTAGGGGGCGGGGGTGGGTGGGCAGGAGAGCCTCTGGGAAAATCCATCTCCCACAAGTAGGTTGGCAAGTAGGGCAAGACCTGTGATCCTGCACAAGAGGTTCTTTGAGCGGCACCCCAGACCCCTCCCCGGGAAGATAAGCCAGGAGGAGGATGGGGGGCAGGGTTGGAAGGCTGGAAGGCCAGGGCTCAGCTACCCAGGCCGGGAGAACAAAAGCTGAGTTGCAGCCGCCTCTGCTGCTGCTGCCGGCGGCGGCCGAGCTCTTTGTGACACTTTGTTTGGGACGCAGAGAGGGAAGCACTCCCCCCCCCCCCTATCCTCTCCCCTCCCCCACCCCCGCTCCCAGGGAGTTTGCCTCCATCAGCCCTACCTGGGGAGGGGGGGGGGGGGGCCGGCCATCCGCTCAGGCTCCCGGCCGTGCAGCCCTGCACCCCAGGCCCCTCGCGCTCTGCCTTCGGGCCCCTACAAAGACGCCTGTCCCCGGCCTCCCCCCACCCCAACCCCCGCTGGCCTTTCCCCTCTGGTGCCCCCTTCCCCGGCTTCCCCCACCTGGTCCCCCTCCCTCGAGATCCCCCCCCCCCCGGCTCCCCTGGCTCCCGAGGCCGCAGGGGGCCCCCCCGCCCCCCCAGGCGCTCCGGGCGAAGTTTGCTTGGGGTCGAGCCGGCGCCCCTCCCCCGCCCCCGCCCCCTGCACCTGCTCCGAGCCCGGCGCGCGGAGCGGGGCCCCCCCTCCGGGAGGGGGGCGGGGGCCGGGCGGGGGCGGGCGGCGGAGGGGGGGCCGGGCGCGGGGGGAGCGGCTACTCACGAGCCCCGGGCGGAGCGGGCGGCGGCGGAGCGGGCGGCGGCGGCGGCGGCGGCGGGCGGCGGGCCGGCGGCGCGGGCGTCAGCGTTACGTGGGGCCGGGGGAGATGCGCCGGCCCCGGCCCCCCCGCCCCCGGCCCGGCCCCCGCCCCCTCCCGGCCCCCGCCCCCGGCCCCGGCCCCGGCCCGCATTGTGCGCGGCGGGAGGCGGCCCGGCCATTAGCATGCGGGGGGCGGCGCGGCGCGCGGGGAGCCGGGCGCGGGCTCCCGGGACGGGGCCGGGGCGCCGGGAGCCCGGGGAGCCGCCGCCGGGGGCGGGGTGCGGGCCGCGGGGAGCCGGGGGGCGCTGTCGGGGGGTGGGGGCGGGGGCGGGGCGCGCGGACGGGCTCCCCAGAAGGCGGGAGGGGTTTCGAAAGGTCATCCCGTCCTTCCCCGGCCTCCGCGCCGCCCCGCCCGCCCGCCCGGCCCGGACATACCAGGGAGGGAGCGCGGCGCCCGCTCTGCCCCGACACGCTCGGCCCGGGAAGTTCCTCCGGGGCTTTATCTCCGAGCCTCTCCCTGCGATGTGTGTCTCTTTTTGGGGAGGAGGAGGAGGGGCGATGAGAGAGATAGCTCATGTCTGCCGTGGAAGAAACATTATTAAAGTTAACTCCTCGGCCCTTCCTGTTCCCGATAAACAATCCCCGCACCTTCCTCTCGAATCCTGCTTCCCATTCCTCAGGTCACTCTGCTGGCCCTCCAACGCCACAAATATTTACCGAGGGCTCCTGAGTGCCGGCCCGGTGCTAGGCGCCGCGGGGGGATGCACAGGCAGGGGGTGCAGCACCGTCCCCGCAGGAGATGGTAATCCGGACGGGGAATGTGTGTGTGTTTTAAGTAGTAGAGTCCGATTGAGCCAATATTGACTGAATGCCTGTTCACATATTTAATGGTATATAATCCTTACAGTCAGACTCTGAAATGTGAGGTTACGTTTATAGGTCAGGAAAACGAAGCTAAAGAGTCTCTTTTCACTGGCCTGCCAGCCTCAGGGAGCCTCCGTGCAAGGCCAGCATCTCCCCTTCTGCCAGACCATCCACCGCTACCAAATAAAGTTAGCACACAGCAGTTCTCAGCCATTTTAAGTGTGATTCCCACTCCCCAGGGGAGGTGGGGGGGGTGGGGGGGGAGGGAAAGAGCGGACACAATGCTACAAGGAGCATTGGCTCAGCACGGACCAGGGCACAAGTGGCTTACAAAGAAGGCCAGGCCTGGGTCCTAGCTCCCAAGGGCCTTTTGGCTCGGCCTTCTTCCGTCATCAATAATAATAACGATAATAGCCACTCACATTCATTGAGCACTTAGGTGCAAGGTGTTGGGCTGAGCTGGTTTATATGCATTTTCTCTTTTAATACTCAAAGGAGCCCTGTGGTATTATTAACTTCCCTTTATAGGTAAGCAAACACAGATGAAGTAACTGGCACAAGGTCAGCCAGGTAGATCTGGAATTTGGACGTAGGTCTGGTTGCCTCCAAACCTCAGGGCTCTGCATCAAGATGATCTTTCCTATTTTTGATCTCTAAATATATATATATATATATATATATATATATATATATATATATATATATATATATATTATATCTGGGCCCCCGCTGGTTCTGCTGCTTGCTGTAGAAATAAATATCCCCAGCTTAGCCTCTGAATAAGCCCTTTAGTATATGGGCATCGGGCACAACAGTATGACCTCATCAGCGCCACTAATGGTTACTAAGCACCCGCCATGAGTCAACAACCCTTCACAGTCATATTATTAGCCCCCGTTTTATAACTCCGTTTGAACAAACAGTGGTTCAAATAGGTAGAATAATGTATTCAAGGTCACACAGCTAGGAAAGTGGCAGAGCTGAGATTTTAGTCCAGGTCAGCTTGGCTGCAAGGCAGCTTGTATCTCTCAAAAAATATTAATTGTTGCAATAGCATCCTCGCAAAGACCGGCCATTTGGGGACTATCTTCTATAGATGTCTAGCTGCAGATGATCACCAAGCTAAAAACAACCCCCACTGTAATAGGGCACCCCATCCTCTTTGTCAGTGTCCCATCCAGAGTAAACCCTCCAAAAATAAGGAAGGAGAGAGGAGAAGCCATTCAGAACTTGACAGCTAGGAAGCCAAGGGAATTGAACCTTGCCTGGTTTGGGAACAAAGCTGCAAGTGGCAATGACATGGGAACAACCCAGACAGTAATGTGGGATTTCCCTAGGGAACAGCAAGTTATTCGAGGAGGAAGGAAAAAAAAAAAAAAAAAAAGGAGAAAGATTGATGGAGATGGGGGGTGGGGGCAGAATTAGGGCCCAGGGTGGTAGCATCCATGTGCGGGCGTTCAGAAGAACCCAGGATGGGCAGAGATGGATGATACAACAGGAAACAGGAACAAAACAAGGCAGAGCTGGGCATCTCGTGGAGTGAACAGAGGCTGGTATCTACCTACGGCCACTTCCGGTTGGCCCTCTTAGAGACCTTTGCCCCACCACACCCCAACCCTGACAGCCTGTCTCAGCCAAGACAAGTTTGCTGTCAGCTCTGAGCCACCAGGCCCCACCAGGAGCTCCAAGCCCAGCTGGGTCCCCTTGGAGTAGCTGCTTCAGAATAGGTAGGTGAGAGGTCCTGAGCCTCAACTCCCTGGATATTAGAAGCATGCGGAGGGGCAGCTGAAATAGAGGCTCCTGCATGACCGGTCTCCTGCCTTTTTCCCAGGGAAAAAACCCAAGCTTCAGCAATCAAAGGAGCCATGGAGGACAGAGCTGGTCAGCAAGAGCAAACCAGACCCAGCCCTCGTCTGGAAAAGCTACAGCATTGGGCAAGGCAAAGGCAGAGTGGGAACCTGTTGGTGCTGGGGGTGAGGCAGGATGCCCTACCCCACGCTTCCGCATGTCCACTTGTACCCCAATTCCATTCCATCCATGTTTTGTGAACGCTTACCATGTGTTTGAAAATGTTAAGACTCTGAGAGGGAGGAGGGTGGAGGAAGCACAGAATAAATTAGGCAAAGCCCTTAATCTACAAGCAGCTTCCATCATGTGGGGAAAGCGCGCAGTAAGTAACTAAGCTATGACGTCAGGCAGAACAAATTAAATGACATCCCCTTCCTTCACCGCCCTTGGTTGACTACTTTCCACCACCAGGTATTCTGGCCAATGGCGTGGGTTGGGAGGAGGGAAGGGAATTGCTGACAGTTCCCCTGTGTCTGGCCTTCAGGTGAGCCAACTATGGCTAGCAGTGACTGTGGTGCCCTTGGCTGTCTCAGTTGCCTGCCTGAACTCTGCTTGTCACATGGCCACAGCACTGCCGCTTGGACCTGGAGCATTGGTAAGATCCACCACAACAGAGGATGGAAGAAAGATCCTGGGGGCCCTTCAGTAAAAGGGCCAGAGCTCAACCCTTGCCTTTCTCACCATTCAGGGTCTCCTCACTGGGATTGTTACCCTTGAGCTGCGCAGAGCACCCCGCCTTTGGAAGGTGAGAGGGGAAGTGAATGCAATACTATTCTTTCCACCCAAAACACACACATACACACACCACTCCTCAACCTAGAGAGTGGCTCCCCAAGCTAATCCTATCAGCTCTCTGCCTGACAGTCCTGAAAGACTAAGGCAAAAAACAAAACAAACAAACAAACAAAAAAAGCATGGAAGGCCAAAACCGGTTTGGCTCAATGGATAGAGCATCGGCTTGGGAACTGAAGGGTCCCGGGTTCGATTCCAGTCAAGGGTATGTGCCTTGGTTGCGGGCATATCCCTGGTGGGGGGTGTGCAGGAGGCAGCTGATCAATGATTCTGATTCTCTCTCATCGATGTTTCTAACTCTCTATCTCTCTCCCTTCCTCTCTGTACAAAATCAATAATATATATATATATATATATATATATATATATATATATATATATATATATATATAAAATGGAGGGCTAAGGGCTCTGTTAGAAGAATAAAAGCTGAGTTTTGTTTCTGGTGCAGGTTGAGCTTGGGGTTGCAATGAGTCCCCTTAAGCTAGGCAGGGCTGAACTGGTTCACTGGCAGGTGCAGGCCATGATGATACTCAACACCATCGATCTGATCTTGGGCTTCATCGTGGTGGTGGTTGAGGTGCTGAAGACAGCCTTGGGGTCTGCAGCATCTGCCTCCTCCCAGGTACCGGTGAGTAAAGAAGAAGATGGAAAGACAAGGAGACAAAAAGAGATGGAGAGGGATAAGGGCAGGGGCCAACAGGTGTTGGTTCCTCTGTAGCATCCTCAGCCTTGTCTACCTGTAGCTGGACGGCTTGTTGGTGCTGGAGCTCAGTGCTGAGGCTTTCACCCTAGGAGGAGTGCTGGTCTCAGCATATTCCCTACTCCTGCTAAGCCAGAGGAAGCCAGGATGCTGCAGGAGGCAGAGTCTGCACTACCGGGAGCTGCAGCAGGTACTGAGGGCAGGGAGGAAAAGATGGAGCTACCTAGGAGCTCATTTTTTTTTTCCCTCCCAATGGCCTTTTGGCCAATGGCACTTAAAGGAAAACAATGGGGCAGGGAGGAAAGGAAGGGGTCCTAGACTCATGCTAATTGGTTTTCTGACTGAGCATCTCTCTCCTAAAGGTGGGTAAGAGGGAATTGGATGTCTAAATGGTTGGACCCAGAAATGTGGGAGAACATTAGAAAGCTGCCTAACTATTAGAAGGGCTATAGGAATACAATACAAAAATGAAAGAGGAGGAGGAGGTGGTTGCTTTTGTCGATGATTCCTCCTTTCTCACCCCTCACACTTCTGTCTGGTTTTCAGGGTCTCTCTGAGTTGGAGGAAGTTACTGATTTGGAGAATGGTCCCGCGGCGGCTAGCACAGCAAATTCAACAACTGCATGAGATGGCAAGGCAAGCGGACAAGTGCTGCTCTCCTACCCTGCGGGAGCGTTCTCCAGACCTTACTGCACCCCACCAAACTCAGAAAAGAGATGGAGGCCCTGGAGACAATACGTGCAATCCAGTGGGGATGCCTTCAATTTCCACTCAGACTAGGGTCCTTTCTGGTCTAGAGGAAACTATACCTCGACCAGATTCTCCCCTCATCTCATTGCCCTGAAAAGCTGCCCCCCTGCAGGCCATCCTTAAGCTAACTTTCAGCTTCCCCCCTCCCTTCCATCTTTACCCACCCCCATCCCATATAGCTTCATATCTTCCTCATCTCACTATGTCTCTTCTTTCCACCTTTCATAATCCCATCCCACTCCAAAGCCCAGGTTCGCATACGCGGCGACTCTCTGAAATCAATCCACGGATGCTTTTAGTTCTCTCCCTCCGACTGGTTCCGTACTCCAACGGAGACTACAAGTCCCATGATGCCCCGCACCCCGCGGCCTGCTGGGAAATAAAGAGCCTTTTCTCCGCCGTGAGGGCGCAGTGCATCTGCTGAGTGACGTGAGGAGCGGAAAGTCGGGGCCTAGCCGACTTGCCTCGGACGCGTCCACTGGCCCGGCGTCCAGGGAGGAGCCAGGCGGGTGATTCTGAAAGGGGGCGCCGCTACCCCAACCGGGGCAACTGAGAGCTGGCCGCGGCTCCATGACCCTCCCTCGGGCAGCTCCGGGAACCCGCAGGCGCTGGGGGATGGCCCTCGGCAAAGCTGGGGTTCCCCGGATGCTGTCATCGCGCCCCCCTCTGGCAACGCCCAAGTCTAAAGTCCTGAGACTTGGAGCGCGCGCGAGAAAGGGGTTGGAGATGATGAGTCAGAAGCCCGGGGCCCTCCGCGCCGCCCTCCCCCCGGCGTCTGGCCGCCTGGGGAGGTCCGGCTCCCGGGCGGACAGGTGGACTGGGCAGGAAGAGGGAGGGGCGCGGCGGCCGCTCAACCTGAGACTTTCCCGCCTCTGCGAGCACGCGGCGCAGCGGGCCCGCGTGGCCGCCGCCCCTCCTCGCCAAGGCGGGAGCGGGACTGCGCAGGCTCAGCCCCCGCCTCGCCGCAGCCCCGCTGACCTTCGGTCCCGGCCGCCGCCGTTCGGTTGCGGAAGCTCTCGTGGCGCTCAACCCCCACCGTTTCTGAACTTTGCAAAGTGTGCAAAGATGGCTAGCACACGCGGGCTTGAGAGAGAAAGCCCAGAAAAAAAGAAAAAAAAAGATAGAGACCCAGGAGTATACTACTCAGGGCAGCTGATTAGCCCTGCTAGAAACTGCCCAGAGCTGGAGTACTGAAAGAACTCACCCCAAATTCACACAGTGCCCGGGATGGGTGTGCGCCTCACACCCATGTGTGTTCCCCCTGGAGAAGGCTTCTTTCCCTTAGAATGCTGCTTCTCCGAAGTTTGGCCAAGCCCAGGCACCAGCGAGGAAAGAGCGCAGCCTGGCTGCCTTGCCCTAACATTGCAGCGGTGCCAGCGGCAACTCCTTTCTGTGTGTGACACCTTGGGAGTGGTAATAGTCGCCCTATGACAAGGTTATGTGAGTACTAGTGGGTGGGGATAGTTCTGGGATTAGGTTTTGGAATGGAAAAAAAAAAAAAAGAAAAAGATCTGGGCCGCTCTCTTCTCCTCCCACTCTAACTGCCAGAATAATAGGAAGCTCATGTGTGAAAGATTCAGAAAATAATTTTCTTCCAAGTTAGAAGGTGGTAGTGGATGAGGAAATTGGGGTAAAAAAAAAAAAAAAATCAACAGTTGATTCTGTCTTCCAGATAAAAACTACAAATTTTAGTGACATGATCAGGTCTAGGAATTGCATTCTAGTTCTTGAAAAAAAGTCAATGACCATGCAAATGAATCCTTATATCAGTCAGGTTGGGCTAGGTTATGCTGTGGTAACAGTGCCAAAATCGCAATGGCTTAAAACCACAAAGGTGTATCTCTCACACTACATGTCTAGAGTAGTTGGCAGGAGCTTCTGCTCATTATATTAATAAGTTACTCAGGTACCCAAGCAGATGGACCTCCACCACTTGGAGATCCTGCCATGTCACTATGAAGCTTAGGACCCCACCCCCTTCCCTAAGCATGAAGAATTGTTCAGAAGCTCTTAAGTGCTTCTGCCTCAGAGGGACAAATGCCACTTCCACTCGAACTTTATTGGCCAAGGTGAGTCATAGGGCCACACCCAACTTCAAGACAGCTAGAAGGGCAGTCTTTTCATATTCCTGTAAGGAGAAGGGAAGCAGAAATAGTCATTAAAGGAAAAGTTAATCATTTGCAGTGAGTGATACTAGAATAGCTACGCAGTTGGAATTCATCTATTCTAGCAGTTATGCCCATATCTAGATACTTCTTTGGCTTTGGTGCATGAATCACTAAATGAAGTTCTTAATGAAAACTCCCCAAAATTAACAGAACTGAAAGAGGAAATCTAAAGATTCTGGGGAGTTTTGTACACACACACACACACACACACACATTTTTATTGATTTCAGAAAGGAAGGGAGAGGGAGAGAGAGAGAGAGGAACATCAAAAATGAGAATCATTGATTAGCTGCCTCCTGCACACCCCACACTGGGATTGAGTCCGCAACCAGGGCATGTGCCCTTGACTGGAATCTACCCTTCAGTCCGTAGGCTGACGCTCTATCCACTGAGCCAAACTGGCTAGGGCTAAAGATTCTGGTTTTGTTGTATAAGTTTGAGAGAATCAAACCTCTCTGAACTACATTTTGCTTATATCAAGATAATGATCACAGTATTTAACTTCTCTACAGACCTATCAAGGCTAAAATAGAATTGCACATAGAAAATAATTTAAAACTATAAAGCACATCAGAGGTTGACAATAAATTGCCTATAGAGATGAGTAATGAAAATGAATGAAACGGTATAAGGTAATAGGGAGTGGTGTGAACTGTGGTAAGCTAATAAGCATACATTCTATTTAATGACCTTCTTCCACTCAACTTCATTCAAACATATGCCATGTGGAACTGTAAGCTTAGTATTGCCATAGTTCCAATTTTCCTATAAAAGTAAAAAATTCTGGCTTTTAAATGTGAAATCATCTAATTTTAAAATGTTAATAACTAATTTTTTTTAATTGACCAGATTCAGACTGTAGTCCTTCAATTATAGTCTCTCCATTATACAAATATATGGTAGGAATTATGGGCAAAAAAGGGGCCACATACTAAACCTGAAAAGCTCAGCGGAGGCCTTACAAATTCAGAAACCAAATTAACCCCATATGATAGTCTGAAATTAAAAGTTTATGGTAGATTGTAGTCATGTCCTAGGCTGGCATTTTCCCTAACAAAAGTCAATCAAACTGAGCCTGTCTGTCATCTTTTTCTGTATGTACAGAAACATACCTGTTAACATATCTTTGGAATATCAATATCAAAGTAACTTCCTTTTTCCCGGACCTCTCAAAGCACAACCACTGCACAAAGTAGACCACAAATCCCCTTATTGTTATTATTAACTAGAGTCCCAGTGCATGGAATTTGTGCACAGGGCAGGGAGAGTTGTCCCTCAGCCCAGCTGTACCCTATCACAGTCCAGGAGCCCTCGGGGGATGTCCAACTGACGGCTTAGGCCATTCCTCACTGAGATCAAGCCTAAGCCTACAGTCAGGTATCCTTAGCGCTGCCATGGAGGCAGGCGAGGCTCCTGCCACCACTGCTGTGCTTGCCAGCTGTGAGCCCAGCTTCTGGCTGAGCAGCACTCCCCCTGTGGGAGCACACTGACCACCAGGGGGCAGCTCCTGTGTTGAATGGAATCAGGCCAAAACCAACTCTCCAACATCCCCCAAGGGGTCCAGGATTGCAAGAGGGTGCAGGCCAAACCTAGGGGTCCCACTGGGGCACAATCAAGGCTGAGGAGGGACATGGGAGGTTGGCTAACCTTCGAGGGACCATGGGAAGTCTCCAGGGCATGTCTGGCCCATCTTGCTCAGTCCTGATCTGCTGGGCCCCAGCAGCAAACTAACCTACTGGTCAGAATGTCTATCCTCTGGTGGTCAGTGTACATCATAGTGACTGGTCAACCAGTCAACTGTCTGCCCCCTGATGGTCAGTGCATGTCATAGCAAGTGGTTGAGCAACCTTAGCATATCATTAGCATATTACACTTTGATTGGTTGAGTGGATGACTGGACAACCAGATACTTAGCATATTAAGCTTTTATTATATAGGATTGTTAATTGTTAACTATCCTGTACCCTCCTATGTAAAATAAATGTGTGTCTATTGGTTGTACTTTCTAAATAGCCCCAGAGACCCCCACCCCACCCTTTGTTTTCTCTTGCTTTCCTAATCTATCACCAATAAATTTCATGTCACCCCTTATGTATTCCCCTTTGATTCTGATGGATAGCATAAGTGATACAACTGCCATTTTCCTGAGCATTTTCTCAATTCATCGATATCATGCATCCCGGCAATTATCATCAGGTTGGCTCAAATAAACTCATAAAATTCTTACAGGTTTGGACTTCTCTTACATTGACAGAATTAAGGTTTTAGATGTGCAATACGATTTTTGTAGGCTTTCCAGGCCTTTTCTGAAATTCAAGTCTTAGAGAGGTTTAACATTATGTTCTTAAAACTTTTAAAATAAAAAATCCCTCTATGGCATTGGATCTCAAGCAGCATATAGTCCCCCAGGTGTTATTTGGCAATGTCTAGAGACACTTTTGCTGTAGGAGGAACAGATGTGTATACAAAAGGAGCATTAGTAAGTCAGATCAGAGATTTTAGTCCCTGTGCTACTAAAATCCCTTTCCTGTGCATTATCTTCTGCCAGCTGCAAGTGAAGACAGTCTGTGAGGCTTGTCCTGTGAACTTCATGTTTACCCCTCCCTGCTGCCTAGTGTGAGAGTCCCTGGCTGCTCCCTGAAAGCATTCTACTTTGCTGCAATGCTTCCCAGCAAAGTATCCACCCCTTGGCCAGTTTGGCTGCTTCTG